TCTATAGTTTTATATCGCAGAATATTGACTCATAGATTTTGTCCATCTAAACCTGAGACTTAACCAACAGATTTGAAATGTTTTTTTTTTAACGTATGAATTTTATTAAGGCTCCGATTATTTTCGGAAAATAACTTACATTGAGAAAATATACAAGGAAAATATTTTCTTTGAAAAAGATTTTTCAAATAATTTATTTTCCATTTTTTATTGCAATATTGAAAGTTAGTTAAAAATTTAAAATTTTTAACTCATGAGATCATAAAATATTAATAACAATAGAAATTTCTTATTTTAAAAAATTTTATTGTTAAACATGAGAAACATGCACAAAAAAAAAAAGTAAATTATAAAAGTCGTCGGTGACTGGTGATGGTGGTTGGTGGTCAACAGTGACTGGTAATATTTGGCTATCAATGATTAATAAATTAAAAAAATATAAATTTATACAATTATAATAAGTTTGTCAGTGTTCAGAGAATGTTTTACTCTCTTGAAAATGAGATTATTTTCTTAAAAATAACTTGATTTTCCTTTGACCAGGAAAATATTTTCCGTTAACATAATGGAGCTTAATTTGAAATAACCAACAAATTGAAAAATAGAGCATAGTCTCTTTCATTTATGATTGCTCAAGTGGTATTAGGATTCTAGTTTCTCTTAAAAATAATTACCAATAACAATTATATTATAATTATATTAGACTTTATAATTGTTTGATGATTTAATATTTGACACTTATTATGTTACTATAGCTAAAGACTTAAATATAGGGAGATTAGATAGAGAGGGCGAGAAAAATAATTGAGAATTAAACGGAAATGACATCGTAGAGGGTAATTTTGTCATTTTAAAATCACCTCCCAGCATTATCTTATTTCTTCTATTAATTTACCAAAAAATCCCTAAAATTGGATGGAAGGATCATTTTAGAATGAAGAAACAAAGATGCGTAGATATTTAACCTAACAACAACTACTTTAAAATTTAATTATACGTGTCAGAGACGAAATAATAATTTTTTTTCTTTCTTAATTTTTATATAATATGAATATGAATCCAATCAATCGATTTTAGGTATTCTATAAGAGGATTTTGCGCATCAAATGACAACAGATCTTTAAAAAGCATGTTGGTAACATTCTGTTGCTAAATAGATGTTTATTTTTTTTAGGCAATTGTTACTTTCTCTGGTCCCTAACTTGCATTACATCCTGTCCTGTAATGATCTCATCCAAACTTGGAATAAAATCACATCCAGGCATAATCCACATATTATGTTCTTATTAATAATAAATTCTTCTCTTAATTTTATTGTTTTAATTTTATAGTATCTTCAAGATACCTATATTATTACTATTAAGTAACTATTGTGCTTAAAGGTAAGCACGGTTTGAAACTATTAAAATACTTTAAGGTCTAATCTGCGGTTTCATAGTTAAACAACATAATGGATTCATATATGATATATAATATATAACATAGGAAAAAAAATATAACTAGCAAAAAAGTTCTTTGATAACATCAAATATAATGTATAAAATATCAATGTTTACAATTTAAATTTACAAAAATAATAAGATTATATGTAATTAATATTTATGATACACCAGAGTATGACCAACCGATAAGAATTTATTTATAAAACAAATTAATTTGTTTCTATACTATAGTATTAAGAACATAAGAAATGATATAAAAAAGAAATTATGTTCACAATATGTATTTTCAAAGTTTCAAGTTAGATAAAATATATAACAATTAAATTAATCATACAATGACATCATAGAATATTAATGAGGTTTGATTCGGTTTTAAATGGTGTAATAAAATGAAAATCAAATTAAATTATTTTGAAAATGTTTTATTAAATTATAAATCAAACCGAACCGTTTAAAACGATAAACCATTTAAAACTGATGGTTTGATGTGGTTTAGTTTGGTTTCATGGTTGAAATCATTTAATGCTCACACCTAGCTCAATATACTAGTTGAATTCGGATGCAATATACAATTTACTCAAAAATCAACTTGCATAATAATCACCCCAAGTTTCCCAATTTTTTACAAAAATAGTAAAATAATAATAATGAAAAATATTCAATTAATTTTTTAAAATAATATCTTATAAAAAAATCGTTATTTTTAAATAAATAAATAAATAAAATATTTATTTGAAAAAAAAAATAATTATTAGCAATTATTGTTATGAGGTTAATGAAATCCTAATATAATATAAATACAAATCGAGAAGAATCCAATACCAAAAAGCTCAATGTAATTGACAATAACTAGTTGAGACTTTTACAAGCCATGAACTGTTAATTAAAAAGCTTACTAACTTAAAATTAAGTGTTGGATATAAATCAGATATCAATTACCTATGACCTGAACTATTCGGGTATAAATCAATTATCAACCGCATAAATTAGCCAAATCAACTGTTGAAGTGTGAGACATCTGCGTCTTCCTTGTTTTTTTTTTTTTTTTTTTTTAATTATAATAAGTCTTCTCTTATACTATTATTTAATTTTTTTTACAAAAATTCTAAACTATATAGTATATTTTCTAGATGACCCAAATACATTTTTATATACTACTCATTAAGTAACATATTTGCATTTAAGTCTATATGCGACGAGTATATTTAAAAACTATTAAAACCTTTGAAGTCTCAACAGTTAGATAGCACGGTTCACATTAGAAAGACAAAACATTATGGATTCTATCCAGATATATAATTATGAATAGTTAACAATTAAAGAGAAAAAATAAAAATATTAACTGAGCATAAAAAGGTCTTTGAAATATAACATTCAAAAATATAATGTAAAATATCAATGTTTTACAATTTAAATATTGACTAAACAATATGTGTTGAAAAGTTTAGATACTCTAATAATTATTTATGATACAGCCAGAAGTTATTGACGCACTAACCCTCCATAAGGAATTTATTTTAGAAAACCAAATAATTGTTTCAATACTCCTATTAGTATAGAACATATAAATACATGTGAATAATAAAAAAAGTGAATTATGTCACAATCTATGTTATTTCTTTCAAAGTTTCAAGTTAGAATAAATGAATACTAATAACATAATAATAATCATTACAATGACATCATAGAATATTAATGAGGAATTTTGAAATTCACTGCAGTTTAGAATGGGATTATTGTAAATTATCATAAATTGAAATATTCAAGACAAAATTATTCTTGAATAATTTTTATTAATCCTTATAAATCAACGAACCGTTTAAAACGATAAACCATTAAAAATCTTGATTAGTTTGATGTGTTTAGTTTGGTTTCATGGTTAAAATCATTTAATGCTCACAAACCTAGCTCAATAATATACTAGTTGAATTCGGATCAATATTACAATTTACTCCAAAAATCAACTTGCGATAATAAATCAACCCCAAAGTTTCCCAATTTTTTACAAACAAATAGTAAAATAATAATAATCGAAAAAATTCAAATTAATGTCATTCTACAAATTAATATCTTATAAAAAAACGTATTTTTAAATAAAATAAATAAATAAATATTATTTTGAAAAAAAAAATAATTATTAGCAAATTATTGTTGATGATGTATATGAAAGTCAGCTAATGATAATAGTACCCATAATTACAAAATCGAGGAGAATCCAATACCAAAAAAGCTCAAGTTAAATTGACAATAAAACTTAATTAGGATTACAGCCAGAAACTGATAGATTAAAAAGGAGCTTACTAACTTAAAAATTAAGTGTTGGAATATAAATCAAGAATCAATTACCTGATGACTCTGTAACCTATCGGGATAAATCAATTATCAACCGCATTAAATTAGCCAAAATCAAACTTGTTGAAGTGTGAGACATCTGCTATCTTCCTTGTTTTTTTTTTTTTTTTTTTTTTTGTTTTTTTTTTTTTTTTTTTTGACAATAAGAACCTTCATAAACAAGAAGATTAGAAATTGATTAAAAAACAAAATTCCGAGATGATGTAAAGATGCGTGGTGGGTGTAGGGTTCAATTAGTCCATAAAGTAATCACATCACCAAACCCTGGACAGCACAATAGCACTACCAGATAACATGCTATCTGGTAAGGAAATTGCCAAAAATCACATAATTTTAACAAACAGAAAGAGAAGTCTGTGGTCCCACTCTTCCAATCTACTGGTTCATCTGACAATTTAACTTAGTGCACCGCTGGCCTTGCCTCACATCAAAGCCATTCATCCTGCTGTAGAAATTTTATTTTCCATTGTTTGATGCAGGTTTTGCCACCAACACAGCAATGTTAGATGCAGCTTGTGCCACCAAATACAAGTACATTATATGAAGGAAAATCTAGTAAAATTATATTTAGAATCTGTTCGGCAAAATTAGTTATTTTAGTAGCGGGTAACTGTCTTAGAATCTGTTCGGCAAAATTAACTCTTTTGATAACCGATAACTATTTAAGTAGTTTTTCATAAAATCCCAGCTTTTCATAAAATACTAAAAGCTAAATGTTACATGGGTTAACTTTTAAACAAACGTTACCTTAACCTCTAAAAACTAGTTCAAACTCTATATTATCAAACACTATAAAAAATAAATTAAAAAAAAAAAACACTAGAAGCTACTTAAAATATTATTGCCAAACATATTAGACATTAGATGAATTAATTTTAGCTAACTCAAACTCTATGTTATCATACACTAAAAAATAACATTTAAAAGCTACTTAACAAACTGTTGTTGAACATAGCCATAGATATCCTTAGGAGATAAAAAAAAAAAAAAAAAAAAAAAAAAAAAAGATGATCTTGCTTTAAGGGGAATGAAAATAACTACTCATAACTTGTAATATTAATCTTCCAGGAAAGTTCCCCATATACTTCCCATGAATTCGTAACCACCAAAACCAGAGCCATCTCCAAAACCACCCATCCTTATTCCTGTCATCCAAATGGACAAATACCCATCAAGAAAATGTAGAGAAAAAAAATTAAATAAATGCATCCAACAGGCCCCCCCAATCAATAGCATCATGTATTGATTTTTTCAACCCACGCCAATCTCGTGATTCTTTCTTTCTTTCTTTCTCTACCTCTATCAACAAAAGCTCCTTCTCCTCTTCTTTTTATCTCTTTCTTTAATTTAAGGCATCCTAAACATTACTGTAGAGCTGAAGTCATGGCTGCCTGCGGAAGCCTTCAACATATTTTCGAAAAACCGTTATCACAAACTCCTGCTACACTTCTTGAATCTCTCTCTTCATGGAACCAAATCAAACCTGTAAAACCAATCGAGCAATCATCTTTCACTGAAATATTCGGTGAGCTTCATTTCGAAGAAAATTCTCAATCAACATCATCACCGCCCTCTTTTCCTGTATCATCCTTTTCTTCTGCTTCTTCATCTTTTATAGATATAATCCCACGAGCGGCACCTTCAAATATCAACAAGAATGATAACATAGATAATCAAAATGATAACAAGAAAATTCCATCACTAGACTTCTTTTCCGCAACACCAAAGAATCATCAATACACAGGCTTTCACAAAAATGGTGACAGCTTTTCACCAAGGAACTATGAGAACTTACAACTGTGCACCGAAGGACTTGGTTTTGAAAGTTTGGATGACGTTGAGGACTTGAAGAATGATATAAATGAAGATTGGCAACATCAAGAAGATAAAGTAAGCTTCACAAGGCATTCAGCTTTGGAGAATCAAAGTGGAGAAATCAGGAGGTCTAGGTCAAGTGGACGAGCATTCCCTCCGCCAATTTCGTGCATAGGCAAGAGTGGAAAACCATGGGTTTCCTTCAAGTCTTACCGGCATGATGGGAGGTTTGTGCTCAAACAAATACTAACCCCCAGCCAGGAATTTTTACATGCACATAGAGAAAATGGGCGACTAAAGCTGCACCTTGTGCAGCCAAGGGATGAAATTCTTGAGGAAGAAGATGAGGATGAGGAGGTTGTAGAAGAAGAAAATGAAGAGAACTATTCAGAAGATGACGAGGGAGATGAAGATGAAGAAACAGGTAACAAAAATGACAAAGTTGATGATGGCTGAAAAGACCGACTCTATTATATACAAGTAGGAGTATTCTTTTGTTGCTGCTTAAAAGATCTTCAGCTTCTCTTTCTTTCACCAGTATCAATTATGTAGAGGAAAAGGAATACAATCTTGACAGTTTACTATAATTTTCCTTTCCTTTTTATTTCTTCATCTCTCTTTCACAACACCCCCCGCCCTCTTCTTCTTTCTTCTTCTCTTTCCGCCCCATTCTTATATATTTTGCATTCGGAGCACAAAGCATGGAAAGGAAGCACATAATACTTAAGATTAATGACAATTAGTACTAAACAACTTTCACTTTAATCTCTCTGAGAGATTCACCAAGCTCATATTATTATATAATGATCCACTTACATGCAGAATTGCAGACGCTACAGAGTAATCATTGTTCCCCAATGTGATATTAAAATTTCATCCCTGCAAGACAAAGCGACATGGATCTAAAACCTACCACTGGAAAAGCCGAGGAAAAATGTACATGATGAACTTTTCCTAATATTCAACTAAATAAAAAATAGGCAACGTCTACATCAAATACTTTTAAAGGGGAACCTTGTGACTGTGCAACCCAGAGTCTAAAATTCCAACTAGTTGGGACAGACTAATCACAGCTGTACCATATTCTTGGGTAAGTGGTATTTTGCATACGAACATTAATCCGGTGTTCACAATGGCCACCGAATCCAACAACAGAAGCAATTGACAGAAAGACAAAACTTACAGGACCAATAGTGTCGAGGCAAAGAATCTAGTATGCAAACAGGACAGAAATGCTAAGTGCAGGAACCACAAAAGCTGGAAGGAAAAACAATGACATTGACTAAATAAAGCAACAGTTGAGAGCTCCAAGTTGCATATGACATCATAATGCACAGGAACGATCAATATCAACTAGCACTAAAGACATTGTGGAAGAATAATAAGCATTCAAAATTGAAATTCGTGTGCACTTTTTTCAAAGCTACAAAAAAGAAACAAATCATGCCCCAAGACTACCCATTATATATGGTATGATTACAGACCAAAAAGACACCTTTAAGCTTTAACTTCAGAGCATGTGATACTACCGTCGACAGTGTGTGTATGTGTTATGTCTGTTATTTTTATTTATTTATTTAGAAATATAATCATTCCAGTCCTCACTACACTAATCCTTGAGTCGTTGAGATGGGAACAACATTGAAGAAGCAAGCTTTGAGAATAAGAAATTTGGTTTAAGCCAAAGTTAAGGAATAATGATGTATCTTGCAATATGGTTTCTATGGACTAGAAATTGATTTTGGAAAAAGTCCCCAGTATAAAATTTTCTTCAAATTAGTTTTAGGCCCAGAAAATCTATATTCTAAAAATCTATTATTCATTGAACCACAAAATTTTTTCCTAACTTTTATGCAAAACTATTATTGACAATAATAATGGCAACCTAGCCCTTAATGGAACTCCTAGAAACCTTATACGAATACACTTTTGAACTAACAAATAAATCAGGTGTAGAAGCCCTACAAAAGTTTGACAATTATTGCCATAGCCAAAAGAGAAGGTAAAGCACATTAGAAAGGGGCATCTTATCTCCCAAATTGCATGTTACAGGCCCCATAAGGAATTAATTCTGGTCCAAATAGATTCTTTGTATTAATCTTCTTCAACATGGAAGTCATTGAAAGGTAATAGGCTGGACACATGGCATGACACAGATCCCAAATCTAAAAATAGCTAAAGCCTTGTTTCTATCCTACCCCATACACATATGGACTGCAATGAAACACTCATGTCATGAGTTAAGCAAATCCATATCCAAAGGCTTTTGATAGTCCATAACATCTCTGCCAATAGCTGAAGCTTGATTGCCAATTAGGTGGGATTTACCTCCCAGAAGGGATACATCCTAAAGCTTATCAATTTCACTGTCTACAATTATTTATGCAATCTTTTCAGTCTTGAAAGCTGGTCACAACTTATGAGCTATTAGTGCACAGCTATTGATGCTGTATAAGTAGAAAATTCCAAGAGAAGGGCAAACTGAACAGAATCATTACTAACACAAGAAAACATGAACTGTGAGATTATGCAATATGCATATGCTCCAACCCAAAGTACTTAACAAGAACAACAACAATTGAGCCTTAATTCCAAACTAATTGGAGCCAGCTATGTGAATCCTTCATTTCCATTCCGCTCTATTCATAACAAAGTTCACAAAATGATTTATATTAGGGTTTAACCATTTTTATGCTGGCTGTCAACCCAACTTGGGCCTGGAACCGGCTATGCTTTGCTAAGCACATGCAGGCGAAGTTAATCCACGACACTCCAAAATAGACAATAAAATAAGAACAAATAAATCCACGAAGGTAAAGCAACTCAATGTAAATGTCCTATAGCTTCGACAGACACTCACAAACAGAATATTGGGACGCCAATTAATGAAATCAACTAGGATCGGCTGGACAAAAGTAGGGACGACAAACTTTTGGGACCACATGTTTATCATCCACAGTACCATCCAAACTATGGCATTGGCATGTAATTAACATAGACAATCTTGCAAGAAAGGATCCTATATTGGATAGAGTAGGACCATAGTACTGCATTACATGATAGTTATCAAGTTATAGTGCTACTTCATTTTATTTAAAATTTAAGGCAAAAAGGAAAATGCCAGTAATACAAGGAACATGAAAAGAAAAAAAAAAAGAAAGAAAGAAAGAAAGAATAAGTGCAAAGAGATAAAGGAACAGTGCTTTGTAGACCATAAAACAGGCCTGCGGTTCAAATTCAAAGTGTCCAAATAATTGACTCTTTGATCTTACTCCAAATATATGAACTTTTCTTTCCTCATGTTGTAGATAATTTAAGGTAGGGTAGGTATTTTAGAGAGTTCACTGGTTACCTCTACCACAAATTAAGGTTGGAATAAGCATCAGAAAACTACAGTTGGAATAAGCATCAGAAAACTACAGTGACTGATTACTGCCATCTAATGTCAAAAGAACCTTGTACAACTCTGGACGTCGATCGCGGAATATCCCCCAACTATGTCTCTTGTATTTGATTTTATCCAGATCAAACTTAGCAACAAGCACAGCTTCCTCTTTGTCATCAGCAGCAGCAACAATTTCCCCATTTGGTCCTGCACATCCAATTAAGTTCAATATACTCGGCAATTGCATGTCCATTGTCCACTTACTCAGCAACACAGCATAAACTAAAATGATAATATAAATTTATAATAATAAGAAACAAAGGATACCTGCTATGAACGAATTCCCATAAAATGCAATATTGCTATCTCCATGCTCTGTCTGGATTACTTCCTTCCCAATGCGATTTGAAGCTACTAGAGGTACCTGAATTTGTAAAAGACTACAATAATCCCCCCCCTCCATGGTGGTAACAAAACAAAAGATCAAATTGAAAATATCACATTGAAAGATGATAACAATTGATGGTAAGCCTCAATTAACACCAGAAACACACTTCATTAACTACCCTATTTTAAATGCCAATGTTTCATGATTAACATTCAACATTCATTCACAGTTCACAAATGTAAAATTTTTCTTCTAAATAATATCAACCTGTGATTTTTTTTTTTTTTTTTTTTTTTTTTTTCTATTTTAACTGCAAATGTTTCCATGATTAACATTCCAACATTCATTCACAGTTCACAAAATTGTAAAATTTTTCTTCTAAATAATATCACTGTTGAAATTTTTTTTTTTTTTTTTTTTTTTTTTTTTTTTTTTGGTTGCTAATACTGTCCTCCTTTTTCACAAAAAAGGGGTTTTTTTTTTTTTTTTTTTTTTTTTTTGGTTGCTACATACTGTCCTCCTTTTCACAAAAGGGCTGGAAATCAAGGAAAAGTTAATATAGGAATTTTTTAAATTGCAGTGAGTGGTAATAAACTTGTGATTTGAATTTCTACCATCAAAGTACCCAAAATGGAAAAAGGAAACTAGAAAACAATCTTTAATTTAAGGACACAAGAAAACAATCTATAATTTAAGGACACAGCAAACCAGTCCTCACTACTGTTTTAACAACTAGAAAGGATGGAGAAAATGTAATCATGCTAATGATTGCAAGAAGGTGCATGGTGTTGAATAAGTTGCGGTTAACAACAAACAAGAACTAAAAAAAGTTACAAATCACCAGAAACAGAACAGTTGCTTACCAGATTAGCCCCAGCATGCCCTTGCATCACGCGCTTCCAGTGATCACGAGAATCAAGCCCTTCATCTTGAGGTTCAGAACCAATAGCTGTAGGGTACAATAATATCTCTGCACCCTGTAGAACCATAGCTCGCGCCGCCTCTGGAAACCATTGATCCCAGCATATTGCTGATATAAACTCAGAAACAATTAAAGAAGAAAAATGAGGACTGGCTCATTCACGGCTAAATTGCTTTAAGTAAATGTTAAAAATAGACATAGTGATTTAAATAGGTAACCTAATCTAGACAACAAGTATGGGCTTAGTCCAGAATACAAGCATGGCCAAGACCAAAATGATCAGAGACTAAAATTTCTAAAAGCAGAAAAAAGAGGGAAGGTGATAGAGGTGGAAGGCTTCTTACCAACCCCAATTTTTGCAAATTTAGTTTGGAAAACCTGTTTTAAAATGACATAAGTAAGAAACTATTCAATAAAATCAATGTCAATTCATATAGGTTTCAGAAAGTACAGAATTTAGATAGACACACCTACAAACTGACCTTGAAACCAGTGTCGCCAGGATTGAAGTAGAACTTTTCCTGGTAACCTGAATTCAAAAGAAAAATAGTTGTAAAGAAACTGCAGAGGTTCAAGTTCTGAAATATTCAGCTTACCACACACCTGGTCCATCAGGAATATGAGATTTCCTATAGAGCCCAAGGTCAGTTCCATCAGCATCGATTATCGCTATGGAATTGTAATGGGCATTGTTTGCCTCTTCAAAGAAGCTGACTGGTATAACCACACCCAGTTCTTTTGCCAGTTTCTGCATCCTGCAAATTAGACATACAAAACGAGTAAGTTCAAAAGTAAGAACAGTATAAGCAAAGGCTTAATCTTTCCTGCCTCTAATACACAATCAGCACTAGCATTAATTAATTAAGTTTGCAGGAAACTCCAGGAGCAAAGGTGGTTATAAGGCTGGGTGGATTAGGGTCTGGATCATATTGAATTTTGGTCATTTGAAACTGAACCCTAACAATTTAGTTTCAGGATAGTCTTGGGTCATTGGGAATTTATTTCAGGTCATTTGTGTTACTAAGGTTATCTTTTGCAATTATTTTGGGGCTTTTCTTTGCCAATTGTTCATTTCTGTTGTGTGAATATCTTAGATTATTCTTTTGCAATGTTTTCAACATAAAATTGAGGACTTCAGATTATCTGGAATGCTCTGGTCATAAATCACCTAAATCAAAATTTTCAGATCATATTATGTTCAAGTAATTGTCATTTTCAATATAAAGTAAGTTTAGATTGGGCCAACTTTTTTATTAAATGCAGATCAGTATCAGGTCAAAAATTGAATGCTCTACTAGAAATTGATCATGTTTTAATGCTTTTACCTCAAAATTGTAGGGTGGCCCTTGTAAGGCTTTGCTCGCTGAAAGAAATCTTCTCTTTGTGCTTGACAGAAGTAATATCCCTCAAATAGTTCCTAAGCATGAAGGGCATAAGGTTAAAAAGCTAAACTTGCCAGAGAAAGTACTATTGCCCTCACACTGTTAAGTCTCTATTACTATTGGCAGGACAATATGATCACATAATTTTATGTTGAAGGGAGCAAAACGATGTCCTACCTCTCCATCTACATCTCCCTCATCTCTTCAGGACAAATAAAGCCATTTCATATTTTCATTGTCAATTTCCAATATTAGATCAAGTTACAAAAGTGGAGGAATATTATTATTGAAGGTCAGCAGCATTCAAATAAGTGTAGGTTTACATTTACCCTATATATATATATATAATGCCAGATTTTAAAAACTATACTAGGTAGAAGTGGATGTCTTTTGCTTCCAATTAAAAGAAACTGTTTTCAAACGTCAAGATGGAAAAGCAGGGGTTTTAAAGCAGATCTATCATGTCATAGTAGCCTGACTTGTGTCTCAATCCCAGTGTGGCTGAAGGTTCTCTAAGTTTAGCTATCATCATCTCTATGGTAAACTATTTTTCCCGACCAAGCCCCTCGTTGGCAGGAGTGCTTTGCTCTATAGCTTAGAGTTGTGAGCACACACTTGATAGCTTAAAATAGATCCCAGACAATCAAACCTGAACTTCTTCCCCACTAAAATACAGCTGAAATATTCTAGTTTTTCAAGTTGGTCCTCTTCACATGATAAATAATTGTTTTCCTTCTCAACCTATTAACAAACTGGCATAATAGGTTCTTTCTTCGTTTTCCTTCTCATCCAATTAACATACTGGCAAAAGAGATAGCTTCTTTCTTCTTCCTCCTATTGCAAGTATCACACCCATACTTTAGTAAATCATTGTCCATAAGCTCATCTTGTTCATTCTCCAAGCACCATATATAGCATAAAGGTATTAGCTTGATTCCTCAGCCCAATCGAAGACGATGCTGCCAACCCAAACAACACCTCTTTCTCTCTCCCCAAAAACCCTTCTTGACAAATTATTGAAAATAGAGTAGCTTGAAAGAATTATTCAGTATGGTCCATTAAATAAATTGTCCCATACACCATATTATTAAGAATGACCCCCAGTATTTTAAATTCAACAAGCATATACCTGAATAAGAATGATGTTTGCACCATTCCCATGAGCAGCTCTAACTAGCCTGTCAAAGGAGAGGGCTACTTATTAATAAAAAATTCAATACCACAGATAAAATGGAAACTCATGAGACCTATAGAATTAAATTGCATTGAATCTGAAAGGTTTGAAACAGAGAAGTAAGGAGAACAGCACCACAAATAATGGAAAAAGAATAATTATAATACTTCACGTTGGCAAACAATACAGTAAAAAACATTAAACGAACACCATGTAAGAGTTAACAGCAATAGGAAGAGCATAGGAAAAGTATATTTTCTAAGCATCTATCTATACAGTAAATGTACAAAATATGTCAAGTAAAGTCGAAAGCATTCAACTTCTAAATACTTGAGTGATGATTTGATAATCATTGGTGACTAATCCCTCAGCCTTGACTGTTAACCCAGAATTTAATCACAAAAAAAAAAAAATGGCAAGAATTTTTTCCAACCCCTATTAAGATGTGTCGCAGATTGAATCACCCATGTGAATTCTAGCATATGATGCAAGAGAAAGTATCAAGATATGAACATCAATTTTGCAAGCAGCAAGTTTACATTTAAACAACAGGTATATAAGATGTCAACAAGTTTTTACACTGAAAATTGAAAGGAAGCCGAAGCAAATTACAAAGGCCGCTAGTTCACATTCCATAGTCAAGGCACACAGATGCAAGCAAAAGCAAGAGAATAAACAATGTTAAGGAGGTGGGGAAAATAACACCTGGTAGCAGCATTTTAATTTGAAAAGCTAATATTATGTGAAGGAATGAATTATTACATTGAGCCATTACAGCAAAACTAAAATACATTGAGAAAATCAAGCTTTGCAGTCAACGGACTAAGCAGTGAAAGATAGAACCTTAATGGCCTTGCCACTTAGACTTGCCCATAGAAGTAGAGCTTTTAAAGAGAATAGAGGCTTAAACAGTGTCATGGCTCAGCTAAATTCAATGTTTCTCCCACCAAATGGAGAACACCATAACAAATTGATAGTGCTTGGTGTGATTCAAACAAATTTTGAATTTTTCCTTCTCAATTTGGATGAATAAGCAATCTTGTCTTAGTGTAATTGAATTTTCATAAATTTATGTTAGTTCTATGGAATTTAAAATCAGCCATTAAATTACAGCACCAAAAACATATGAAACGAAAAGGGAAATAAGGACTTGACCTTTCGGCGGTGTCAACATTGGTGGTGATGTCATCAGTGCAAGCGAATTGCAAAGCGGAGACCACTACTTCTCTTCCTTTTTCTTTCTCCATCTGATGATTGATTGCTTAAAGGCGCAAAATTTCTTCTTATATCAGTGGATCAGAGCCAGACGCTAGGGCGGTGATAGTAGCGGTGGCTGCTGGTTGATTAAGAAGGATGAGCGGTTACAGAAAGTTCAGGACTTTCTTTCAACGGCTCTCCTTTTTAGGGATTGACACTACCAGTCGTCTATTGCCGTTGCCTCATTTTCCTGTCGTTCAGGTCAAATGAGAAAACAGCTTGGATACAAGTCTTATCGTAATAACTTGGTTACGGTTCGGTAAGTAATTGTTAAAGCATAAACAATTTCAAACATATCCATTTAATTGAAATGGAATAAGGTTTGATTTGCCTCTGCACTTGGGCATAACATACAAATTATCTAAAAATTAATTTTTTATATAATTTATTCCTTAAATTTACATCAAAAACTACAAAATGCATAATTTGTATCTCAAAAAATAAATTATTTAATATAAATCAGATATGATTAAAAAGTAATTAAATAATTGACCTAAATAAAATATAATTAAAAATTATCAAATGAAAAAATAATAAATATTTTTCTAATCAAATATTTCAATATAATCACATCTTTTTTTAATTCTATAATTTTTTTAAAATCAAATATTTGTAAAATTATTTTTAAACCCAATACTATAAAAAATTTCTTGAAAAACTGAGTATTTTGTTCTTTTGGTACAAGTTTAAAGGGTAAATTGTACAAAAAGTTAATTTTTGGACAAATTGTATATTGTGCCGAAGTTCAAGAAGTAAATTGAGCTTTATTCCAATTGAAATTTATATTGAATTTTTTTTTTTATTCAATTGTATTGAAGTTATATAGCTTCTTTAAATTATATAAATATAAATTCGTTGTTAAGTGATTAAATATGTAATAATTAAAATAAAGAAATAAAATTAGGGTAATACTTGTTTATTATATCTTTTATTCTAATATCCTACCCTTTTTACTTTTGTTAGTATTGCGTAAAAGATTGTATTATTAATAGTAATAATAATATTGACCATAAAAATAATTTTTATCTTTACTAATATCTTTCAAGTTTCACTTAATTTTATTTTAAACTTTTTTAGGAAATTTTTAAATTTATTTTTTAGTTGCTTATTGTTATTGTTTATCAGATTGAATTGAAGATTATGAATTTAGATTTTAACTTTATATATATATTTATAGCCAAATACATAGATTTGCATATGAACTTTCAAAAAATAATTTTACGGGACTCCCAATTTTACAGGAGATAATTATGCGTCTTAAGTCCATTTTTTTGCATCAATCTTGCACCTATATATCTACGCTGGCAGAAAAGGGCGTGAATATGATCGCCCATAGAAGTATTAAATGAATTTATGAAGGCCAATGTGGACAAATCTTGTCTAGTTTGGCTCTTAGTGGCTACCTTTTCCACAACACTTCGCAGATAAACAGCATCAACAAGTCAACGTGGACAAATCTTGAAATCCTTCCTCTACAGAATTTCTTATAGAGTAAAATATATTCCTCTTTGTAACATCCCTTCCCAGTTCACCCGTGAACTCGAATGAACTGAACCGAGACGCTACAAGCTAGTTGAACCTATGTCCTTTCAAGCTGATATCCTTATGTATGCTGAATATTATATCATGTTGTTGCTTGCTACATTAATAATATAAAATATATTATATATATATATTATATATATATAAAATAATATATTATATATGTAACTATATTGCAAGACTTTTATACTAATTTTCAAAATGTAATGGCCCAACTATGTGCCTGTACATGCCCATGATAAGTATGACAGAACCAAAATATCAAAATGAGTAGCTACCCTGAAGACTGGGTCTTTCCAAAGATGAACCTGCAGCAGTTGTTAAGATGACTCTCTACGGTCAGTTTCCAAAACCTATGAGGTAAACAATAAACTTGCTGAGCAAATAAAAACTCAGTGGACTATCTCAACGTATAAAAGAAACATGTAAGCCACAACATATGTATAAAAAAACATGTAAGCACATCATATTATGATACTTCCATTATCGCACGTTGCTGTTCATTATGGTTGTTATTGACTTATGCAATTTTTGTCAATATAACTGCATATGGCTCCATTAAAGGTTATAGTGAAACCAAAGTTGATAAGAAGAAACTATATGAACTGGATGAATACTGCTATGAATAGGCTGCTTGGCCCATATATAATCATATCCACTCAATGGGCCTGTAGCCGGAAGTATCCAGAGTACCAAACTGTATGGGGCGCAGATCTGCTATCCTATGTCGCGACATAGCTTTAGCTACGTGGTTTCTACCTAACCTCAATGGAGCATATTATCGGTATGTCAATAGTAGAAAACAAAAGCATATTAACTGCTTCATAAATTCATAAACCATACTGTTTACCTGTATGCTGATAGCCTGGCAAAGCGGGCAACTTGTGTTATGTTAGTTTCACATCATTTACATGATTGCATTTTGTTTTGATACATTTGCTCGTGTTGTCTTTTTGTTTTAAAATGATTGTCAGAATACAATTTGAGCAAAGGAATACAATTGCATAGAAAAAGAGGTCCAAAAGGCATCAAAACACAAGTCGCGAGCGCGACATTAAAATTCACGAGCACAAAAAGCACACAAGAGAGTCAGAGAGTTTACAGGCACAAATCGCGAGCGTGACATGCAATTCGCGAGCGCGAGAAGCATACAAGAGAGTCAGAGAGTTTACAGGCACATACAAGAGAGTCAGAGAGTTTACAGGCACAAATCGCGAGCGCGACAAGAAATTCGCGAGTGCGAGTCGTATTTCCAGCTTGCATAGTTTGTACTATTTTGGTCATATCTCTCAATTTATAACTCCGATTTAGGTGATTCAAAAACCTACGGATAGCTAAAACATAGAGGAAAAAATAACTCTTATATACCACTTCCTAATTCCATCATTAAACAGGGTCAAAATCATGGTGAAGTTACTGGTCAGTTCTCCAACAAACCTGTTTCAGCATGAACTCAATATCTAATTCATTTAGTCATTTCATCCCATGTTTTCTCACCATTTCCAGTCTTCTTACTCAACATTCAACAACATCTCTTCTCATTATCAACACACTACACAAGTTACTACACAAGTTCTCATGCAAAAGAAAATTTGTTTAAAATTAAAAGAGAGTAGTCAAACCTTCACTTAAAAAAGCTTTTGAAATCTTCTTCTTTAGCTTCCTTTCTTCTAACCTTTGAGCTCACCTCTCCTATACAAAGAACTTTATTGGAATTTTCTAAAATATCACTAAATTGACTAAATTATTGAAATTCAAGAAAATTTTACTTGCTCTGGATAGAATTAGAGGTTGAATTTAATGCTTGAATACCATTAAATTGATTTGAAGAATTATAAAGATGAAGGAAGGTTGGAGAAAGGAAGGTGAGTTAAAAGGAGATGAAGATAGTATGAGAGGGGAAAATGAAATAGAAGTTCGGGAAAGCTCCAATATAGCAATGATTTTTATTCCGTGAAAAATTACCAAATGTACCTATATGTGCAAAATAGATTACAAATTTAATACCTAAACTTTATATTTTAGTGCAAGTAAGTCCTTAATCCTGTATACTTTGATCTTTTTTGGCCTTCATTCAAGTAAGTTCCACTTCTTTTTCACTATTATTTGTAAATCCCATTCTACCACACTCTGACTCTAATGGCTTCGAACCTGGACTCTAATGGCTCGAACCGGGTTTTGGTTCAGCCCGACTCAACTCGACTCTATGCAACGACTCGATTCAGTAGGATGTCACACTCTTAGCACAAACATTCTTACCAGTTAAGAGTTTCTCTCAATCCTTCCTCGTCTGCTACTACTTTTTAAGTTTCCTCATTTGTTGTTTTTAATTTAACGACCTCCTCTATCAGCCATGTATAATTCTCAGACGAAGACTTCCATTGACTACTACAGCGATGGCTTTAATGATGCTCATTACGACGATGTTATTAGCTCCAATGATTTCTTCTTAAATTCAACAAATTTCGAAAATTATGGCGTTAATAATTCCAAAAATAGTGTCATAGCTTTCAATAATTAAGTCGCATTTTGCTTTCCTGTATTGAGCGAGCACTGGCGGCTTAATACAGAATGCTTTATAGACTGCAAATTTCATTATTAGCATCTATTCTAGAGCAACCATCATGAGTTTTCCATCGTTGAATTTTAGGACTAATTTGTGTTGGGCATCAGCTCTGATATCACTTGTTGGGCCTCAGGTACCACTTGCCTCAGCTCGATACTACTTGTTTGGCCCTTTCAATCAATTAAGAGAAAATTAACACAGCGGAAAAATAGACTTGTGACACACAGAAATTTATGTGGTTCACCCTCAACTGTTTACGGCTACGTCCACGGGACAAACTCCGAATAATTCTTCTACTATTAAAAATAGTAAATATGTAGGTACCACAAGAGAAGTAATGCAAAATAGTGGCCACTCAAAGTTGTGTTTCCAAAAACACCCCTAAATAATTACACCCCAAAATAATTTCCTCACTATTTTTCTCTCCCCTAGTTTTAGGAAACCCTTCCTAAAACTAGATAACTCTCTCTATATTTCTTTTTCTTCTTATTTTCTACTGTGTGCTTTGTGAGCTGCAATTCATTCTATATTTATAGAGAATGAAAGACGCGTAATCAACACATCCACCGCCTTCAATCCATCTTTGTTGAATTTTTTTTTTTCAAAAGAAAATGTGCGTACACGTTTTCCTTTTTTCTTCTTCTTTTTCAAAGTGTGGGTCCCACTAGAGTGGACACCGCCACAACAAATCTCCCCCTGCACACTCAAGTGGGGACGTTAGCCATCATCATTCCTGCAGCTAACCGACAGTATTCAAACTTCTCCTTTGAAAGAAACTTCTCCTTTGAAAGAATCTTCGTCAATATGACTGATCCATTTTCTTCTTTATGGATCTTCTCAAGCTGTAACAGCTTCATCTCCAACACATTCCTAATATCAATGTGTTTTGATCTTGAATGGAAGGAGGAATTATTTCTAAGGTGAATTGCGCTTTGACTGTCACAAAATATCTGATATCATTCTTGATGAATTCCGAGTTCATTCAAGAATTTCTTCATCCACAGCAACTCCTTGCAATTCCGAGTTCATTCAAGAATTTCTTCATCCACAGCAACTCCTTGCACGCTTCAGTAATCTTGACTTCCACGACACGGCTCCCCCTGCAAATGTGATTAGAT